GGGTTCAGTTCAGGCAAACCAATCATTCAATCCAATACTCCATCCATAAACTCCAATGACGCATGCTCTCAAATTATTGGGGCAAATAATCCCAAAAAAGTGGCCCTCAGTTTGGGGACAAGGAACGCCTCTAGAGTTCTTACACTACAAGCACTGTTAGGTTAACTAAATTACTGAACCAGAGTAAAAAAAAAAAACCCAAACAGGCATAGAAATCAAAGCTTAGACAAGGCTAAAAAGACCAAAAAAACATTCTTTATTTGATTCACTATCTTTTCCTTCCTTTGGATAACAAAACTAAACTCAAACAACTCAACGCAGACATTTCAACAGCAAGCTAAATCCCCATACTTGTGAAAAACTGAGTAGTTCTTCTTCATGCTATAGGTAAATAAATACAGCTGATCATTTGATGGCTGATGTATTGTTCTCCAATCAAAGACTTAAGCCTACTACATTCCCAGATTACTATAACAGAGGGGTCTAACAGCACTTTGAAATAGGGATGTCCCGATCACCTTTTTTTGCTCCCGATCCGATTCCGATCATTTGATTTTGACAATCTGCCGATACCGATTTTTCCCGATCCGATCTTTATGCAATGCATTAAGAGAAAAAAAAGGTAACAGATAACGGCTGGTCATCCAACGCGATGAATTCAGCTATCTTGGCTGTTATTTTTTTTGGCCTTTTCACTGTTCTGGGGCAGTTTCTCTTTCCTTTTAAAAGTCTCTGAAAGTGTCGGTTGTTTCAGTGCCGTTACCTGAGTGGCCGCTGTGTACTCGTCGTGTTGTTGTTGGTGTTTGTATTAGTTTGGTCGTGTTGAACGTAGCTCTGTTCTTTCCACCACGCGGAACCTCCGCCTTGCAAACATTGCATCTGGCTGTTACACTGCCTTCGCTTTCAATTTTATAATACTTCCAAACTCCTGACATTTTCTCTGTCCCGACTCCCGAGTCATCAGCTGAACGTAGCCTCTTGTTAGCTTACTGCTACTATTAGACACTGCGCCCACTCTGTTGCCAGATTTGAGAGAAATAAGCAACCAGGTCTTTGAAAACAAGCCCAAAAGAAGCAACACATACATGATGTTGTGTAATTTTAAACCAAAACTAAGGCCTCAGGATGACTTTAAGACGTGAACATGGTCATTTTTGTTTTGTAACATTAAATAAAATAAAAATATTTTATAAAAAAAATTCCCGATCCCCGATTTTTTTCTCCCGATTCCGATCGGCTCCGATCCCCGATCACATGATCGGATCGGGACATCTCTACTTTGAAACAATACAGGGGTCAACTGTGAGGAGGGAGGCCTGTGATGGAAATCAAGCAATCACTGTATATCTGTGTGGCTCTATACATGAACTCCCTGAGGGATACATGAAACATTCCTCATATCCTTTGTATTGTATTCTCCTGGAAATCCCTGGAGGAACATGATATATTCACATGAAAGCAAAACCGTTTCAAAGAAATGCCCGGCACCTGGTCTAATAAACCTGTTAAATCACAGTGAGGATGAAACGGCGTTGAGTCTTTGGGGACACTCGGGAAAGATGTGATTTCTGAAGGAGCCAGAAAAAACGGTGGCTTCAATGGGTGCTCCTGCAGGCTGATGGGGCGTGAAGATGATGAGCAATGGTCCGAAACCCCCCATTATAATGATTGCATAATGAAGAGACAATTTTCAAAGCTATTACCTTTTGTTGTATATTAAACGACTGATTTTACGTATGCATGTCATATCACAATGCCCCAAATGATATCGTTCAGTGATTAAAGAAAGCTTTATTTTTGCTTCAGTGTTTGAGATGACTAAAAGATAGATATTCTTTAATCCATTTTCAAAAGAAATAACAAAGACTGTTTCCATGTAGTAAAATCAAAGCCAATTGGTAGCACATTTTGCCCAATTGTTCTGTTATACAGTGTCTTAAACACACGTTTCAGCAACAATTTGACCATCTTTGCTGCCGATCACCCAACAGTTCAACAACATGAGAGAATATAAGTATGCTTTAAAGGTCCCATGTCATGGCCATTTCTACCGATCATAATTCCATTGTTGAGGTCTACTAAAATAGATTTATACTGTGCAATTTTCCAAACTCACATTGGTTTCTCATTCAGCATCTCTGTATAGTATGTGTATTCACTCTCTGTCCTAAACGGCTTGTTGGAGCTCCTGCCCCCCCCTCCCTATGAGCCCAGTGTGCTCTGATTGGTCGGGACGTTGCGAGGCTCGCTGCTCAGTGAGCTGGCTTACTGGTGTGGTTTCCGGGTTGGCGATACAGCGGGACAGCGCGAAACTCATCCTGAGCACACACAAACACTCACAGCCAAAGTAAAAACAATAAGTGTGGCTTGATATTTAGTAAGAAAAAGGTTTATAAATGCTGTGAGAATGGGTCTGCGCCTCGGAGAGCATTTCTCCGCGATCCCAACTCGTCTATTACCAACAAGGGGACTCCCTGTTAGTTGAAAATGTACGCTAAAGGTCCCCACCCCTCCTGGTGTGTGAGGAGCTCCGCGGATTGGTCCATTTTGGTTCCGGGAACCGCATGACGTCATGTGGTCCCCGGAAGAAACAAAGCGGAAAAGAGAAATCTCCAACGAGGCGTTCTGGGGCAGCACAGACAGGTCTTTTCTGTGTTAGAGTTTTACTCGCTGCAGGGTGTACTTTGAGGGTTTGTGACTTTGCAGACCGTTTACATGCATAAAAACCTTCATAACACACAAGGGGACGGGTAATAACCAGAAAAGCATGACATGGGACCTTTAATGTTTAATATGTTTGAAAAAGATAATTTCTTCATCCTCGAATGGAAGATATAAAAAGTGAACCTAAAACAACTTTACAATGTTTATATAACTTAACTGGGGTCAAGGGAATTCTGGGAATAAGATGGACTAGAAAACGTTGAGATCATAGGTCTAGATGTTGCTCTGAGAACAACTTGTAAGGTTTATAAATATTCTTAGAAATGCAATCTGATAACACACGTTGTGTTGGGTGCTGACAGTATGCTCCACACCACGTGACAATGTGTTAGTCTCATTGCGTCAAGAGCATTCACAAAGTTGTTCTCCAATGGAGTTGACGTTGCTAACTGATATGAACAGCTGCTTGTGATTCCAGGAACAAATAGGACACTGATGATAAGCTAAAAGGTGCTCATTGGTACAAGGCATTGACAAAGCATTCTCAAATAGCCTATTGCAATCTGTTAATATTGATCTTTTCCATGTTTCTCCCCATCCTTATAATGATATTAAAACCAACTCATTCCATATCCTATAGCTCTGGGGAGGTTTTAGTCACAGATTCACTTTTTAATTTTTGTATAATTCAGTATCAACCTTTTAAATCCTGTATACTAAAGATTCCCACCTCTGCTTTCCATCTTATTTCCACTACTTATTCAGAAATAAAACAAATGTGGTATGCTTCATCTATTATTCATCTTCAGCAAGACACTTTACCTCTGCCACATCATAGACTATATGCATTACATTAATGCACACAATGTCATACTCCTTTCTGCACATATTCTGATTTCACATTTCATAGTTTATATGCAAAACTGCATTCATAGCATTCTATTTCCATGTAAATTACTGCTTTATTTAATTTTTATTTTATTGCTATTTAAAGGTGGGGTAGGTCATTTTGGAGAAACCGGCTCGAGTTCGCTAGAATTTGAAAATACACAGCCGGAAAACAAATCTGCCACTTCCTTACAGAGCCCCTCCTCCAACACACACGAACGCGCACATGACCAATGAGGGCACGAGATAAGTTTGTGCACAGATGGAAGGCTGACAGGCAGGTAGGCCATCCAGTTATTTTAGCCGGGTCGGCTAAAATGATTGGTCGTGCTTTTTACAGTACTACGGCTTCCACAGATGACATTTTTTTTATGGATTTTTTGTCAAAGCACTTGATTTTCATTCACATATTCATTGCTATCGGGATGTTAAGAGCATTCCATAGAATATAACAAAAAGTGTATCTCGAGCCGGTTTCTCAAACTTACCTACCCCACCTTTAAGTACATTTTATTACGGTGTAAAAGATTTTGTGTTTTATATTAGATTTCTTGTTTTTTATATTTTATGTATGCACCATGACATCAAGTCAAATTCCTAGTATGTGCGAACCTACCTGGCAATAAACCTGTTTCTAATTCTGATTCTGAAGAAGCTTATCAGAACAGGAAAGGTCATACCAACCAAAAACAAAAACCTAGAACTGAAAAACACTCACTTTGAGGAGAAATCTAAGCAGTTGAGGCAAAACTCTGCCAATCAAAGACTGTTTCCACTGTCACCCTTTCATCTCTTGCACAGGGCACACTCTAGTTCTTTACACAGTCATGATGAAGTGGGACGTAGCGAGAGGTTGTACGAATACATTACCCCTTTGATGAAGATTTACAGCGTTGTGGATGCAAAGGCAAACAGTCGGCCCTTTCTGAAGCGACGCTGACACACACTGGCTCCGCCTCTGGTCCCTCCTCCTCCTCTTCTTCTTCATCCTACTCTCCCACTTGCTCACCTTTTCCTCCCTCCTCTTACATGTTGCTCAGTGCTCAGATACAGGATGAGGCTTCCGGCCATGTGGGAATTTCGCCTAATAGTTGGTTGAGTCCCGATGTTGGTGAAGACGCTTGTCTATCCGAACGACTTTTTATAACGAGGCAAGCTTTAGGAGACGAAAAGTCAGTCAATCTGTGCAGCCTTGAGGATTGAAGAAGATTTATTCCGCTTTCTCTGCCAAAGGAGTTGCTTGTAAGAGCCAGAAACTGGGACTTTTGTTCCTTTTTGTATCTTACCCAGAAGACGGTGAGTTTATCTTGATTCACTGATGATGACCAGGAGCTTTCTTTGGAAACGGCACAAACGTAGTAGCACCTAAGCTGCTCTGTCACATGGACATTGACACTAAACAGCTGTTGCTTTTACCATCTCGTCTCAGAAAGAAAACTGGACCGTTATATTGCAGTACATGGCAGTACTGAAAAAACGTGTTTGCATCAAAGCACCTCGTACTTAGCAACTGAAGAGGATGAGAGACGGTGTGATGACCTACCTGTATTTGACAAGTGTGTTTTTCACCTCGTTGGAGAGAGGAGCACAGAGGAAAAAAAGTCAGCGAGAGGAAAGAGGGGAGGGGAAGAGCGAGCCAGCGAGGGAAGGTGTGAAGCCAACACTGTGAAGCAGAGAGATAGAGAAGACCAACAGAAAGACACGAGAAACAGAGTCAACTCTCCCAGACAGAAAAAGGAGTAAAACCGAAAAACAGCGTATCAAAGAACTCACCAAACGTCCATTTAACGCCGGAGCATCGTGTTTTGTCAGAGCCATACAGGGTGAGTATATATTCTGTTTGATGTGGCTATTATGGCAGGAAATTAAACAGCGCACAGGAGCAGCTGTCAACTCAATATTCAGTATAATCATATTATAAATTCAAACATTGTTAAATCTTCATTACTGAATGAAGCCGGAGTTATTATATTAATAAATCACGGAGCAAGTGCTGGGGTTCATCAGTTGTCACCAGTGCTTTTATACTTCACACTTCTATCGATTTATGGTATGTTTTTAAACAATTTAGATTTTAAAACAGTCGATTTTGACACCCGTAATGTTATAAAATGGATTGTTAATCATACATTTGCTTTAATAAGTTGACTGTGAAGGGTTGTTCTGATTGTAATTTTTCTCAGTAAAAAGTGGGAGGTAGGAGGAGTAAGATGATTTGATTTAAGGTATCATTAAAAACCATGGGGATGAAAAGTCACATGATTGGCATCCTAACACTTGTACCAATGTGTTCTCGGAGGTATAAACACTTCAAGATTTATCCAAACAAGGTTTTAAAACTGATCTAGAGCTGAAACAACAGGGGCTTAGTTGTGTGCAGAAACATTTTCAGGCAACCATTCAAATATTTAATTATTTCAGTTATGTTTCAGGGAACTATTAAAAACACACTTGTTGACGCTTGTTAAATGTTGAGATTTGTTGATTTTCTGTAACGGATGATTGTTTAATTTCAACTAATTATCACATTTATTTTATCGGTTAATTGATCAAAAAACATCTGAAAACTGAAACAAATATCCATTACTATCCACAATTGAACTGGCGTCACCAAATGTCATAAAAAAAAAAATGTATTATTTTGAGACCCAAAAAAAGCTTATTCTTAAAATGTGAGACTAAAAGCGACATTGCATTAAAAATGACAAAATCACTCATTGTTAGTTACAGATTTTTCTTTTCATTCCTATGAATAATTGTAGCAGCTATAGAATAAGTTCAAAGACAACAATAAGGCTCGTGGTTTACATTTTTTTGAAATTACACAACCCAAAAAAACTATTGTTGAATTGAGATAAAAAAAAAGGCAGAATTATCAATTATAGAAACAATGAGTTATAATTACAGCAGCAGTAACTTTGTTCACAATCAACAGTTTTAAGTCATGTTGAAATGTACATATTGCCTTTCTCTACTATATGATTGTAAATTGAATAATTTTGGACTGATGGTCACCTGGTCGGCTTCTTGGAAACTGGGTTGGGGCGTTTTTTTTTTTAACATCGAGGCAAATCATTGAGAAGCAAATATGCAGTTTGACAGAATTCAAAATGTTTGCAATCCTGAAGTGACCTCCCTTTTGTTTAAGTACTGACACTACAAACGGTATTTAAGGATGAAAGTGGGTAGACAGTTCTGTGGGATGATCTCAGTGTCTCTGATCCACCTGCTGCTTTATTTAGCCTCGCACTTTCCTCCCCTGGCTTCTTCATAATCAGCCGGTGCAAGGAAACGAACCACCTGTAATGCTTTGTTTCCTATATTTTTCGCCCGGCAGACGGTACGCGAGCAGCCTCATTCCTCTGCTTTGACGCCAGTTTCCTCCGGTCTCGGCGGATAATCAAGTATCCATAACGACACCGGAATATATATAATTTAATGGCATGATTGGGACTATTCATCTCGGTTAGGAAAACGTCCTTGTGTTTGTCAATCTAGTTAGCAGAATCACTGAAGCTCTAATGCGATTTCCCTTTGTCTCATTATGATCGAGCCTCGCAAGGTGCCCATTAGCAGCCTTGGTAAACTACGGCTGCGGGGGAGGAGGATTGATCCTTGAGTTAATGTGTACAGATAGATGACCGCGTAAGGATGTAAATAACCACCTTTCACACACACACACACACACACACACACACACACACACACACACACACACACACACACACACACACACACACACACACACACACACACACACACACACACACACACACACACACACACACACACACACACACACACACACACACACACACACACACACACACCACACACACACACACACACACACACACACACACACACACACACACACACACACACACACACACACACACACACACACACACACACACACACACACACAAGTTGAAAACAAGTCGACAAATGTTCTTCTTCGTGGGTTTTAATTCAATCAATATGTCCGCCCTTTGCTGAAATTCCTCTCAAATAAAAGCTTTCTGCACAAAAGCAGCTTCTTCGAGCACCATTGGTGACATTTTTCAAGTATCAAAAGCACCAAGGTTTAATCCTTGAGAAGTTAACTCGGTCTGGACGTCATGAAGACATCCTTCCTGACACAGCGGATCTCTCTCAGCGTTCAATGTAATAATAGACGGTGTAATCATAGTCAATCAAAACCCATGAATGCTGAAAGCACTTGGGATGTTTGGACAAGCAGTCGGGGCCACATAATCGCCAGCTACGAGTCACAAGACAACAGAAATCAACATGACCTTCAATTCAAATCAAACAGTAATGTTTACATAATTTCCCTGTTAGGCTCCATTTTTCCGAGTACTGTATCTCTCAATGGAGCCTTAGTAAATAAAACTCAGCCACTGTATGACTCAATTAAATATTTCTGAATAGATCATCAGGACAAAATTCATTGAGAAGTCTTTATAGACCTTGAGATTGAAGGTTTGAATTAATACACACGGAGCGAGGTAATAAAAACGTCAAGGCTCTGTGTCGGAGTCACTGCAGCAGCATTGGGAAGAAAGAGTGAAATTGAAAGATAAACTGAGGTTACATAAATGGAGATTATATAAACATCAGTGACAGGTTCAGCACCAGAACATCTTAGGTAGAACGTAAGAAAGGAGTGGGATGTAAAGACCGCAGCATTATTGTAGGGAAAGAACAAGTACTCAGATCTTTTACTGAAATACAACTAGCAATACTAACAGTGTAGAAATACTGTGTTGCAAGTAAAAAAGAAACCTGCATTCATAAGTGTCAGCATCAGATTATAGATACAATATTCATTATGCAGAATGGCCCATTTCAGAAGAATCTGTATTATGGTAATAAATTATGATTACTTATGCATTAATGTGAACATCACTTTAATACTGCAGCTGGTATTAGTGGAGTTTATATATTTAAGCAACAGCTCACGACAGGCCGTGGTATATGGTCATTAAATCACAGCTAAGGGGCGTGGTTTGGCCCGACGTGAAGCAAGCTTTTATAAAACGGTTACCAAGTGTGGCAATATGAAAGAAAAATACACACTCTAATTTAAATAGTTTTTTTTCTGGAGATAGGCACTGCTCAATCCACTCCTCCATAGTAAGGCCAGCCCGGAGGTCGAAGTTAACCTTAAATGTTTCCATCTTAAGCTTTGTTAGTTAGTTAGTTTCGTAACGGACGTAATGTAACGGTTGTAGCTTTTTCTCAGACGCGGAGGGATTGATTGATTGATTGAAAAGTTTATTAACAGCTTGTATATTGGGTACAGTACAGTACAGCTCAAAACATACAATTGTTAAGGGGATGCAGACCAGAGAAAGACTTTCGTCTTGTTTACATCAGGGTCCCCCATTTCCAATTCATCATATCATTTAAGACATATAAGACATATTTGACATACAGATGGCTTATTTACAATTTACATACAGGTGGTTTTTTACATACAGATGGCTTATTTACAATTTTCATTTTAGATTTCGTTCTAATACATCCTAACCGGACATTTAAGACATACCAAGTCTACAGATATACAGTTAGTAACAGAGTCTGAAATGCGAGTATATACATAGATGGGGGGGGGAAGCTGTCCATTGTACGACAGGTTGAGATTTGTACCATTACCGGGGCCAGTTTTGCAATGCTTTCCCCCGAAGGTGCTCTTTAAGAGAGGTTTTGAAGGTAAGTATAGTTTTACTTTCCTTTACAGTTGTGGGAAGAGCGTTCCACCTTGATGTGGCATAATTGCGAAACGTGTATTCCCCTTTTTTTGTGCCAAATCTGGGTTTTACATGATTTGTGGAGCTCCCTCTGGTGTTATGATCATGGTATTCCTTGACCTTTGGGAAGAATTTTGACATGTACATGGGTACCATAGAGGTGTAGTGGATCTTGTAGACCAGGCCCATTGCAAGTAGCTGTACTCTGTCATCTACTCTAAGCCATCCTAGGTTGTCAAAGTGGGCAGAGGTGAGGTGGGTTCTAGATGAAAGGTCAAGCAGTAGTCTGACCAGTTTATTTTGCGATGTTTGAAGTTTTATTTTTAGCGCCTTGGAGGTGCTATGGTACCATGACGTGCAAGCATAGTCATAGTACCCTTGAATGAGTGCTCCTGCCAGAGTTTTCAGGGTGTTTTTGTTTACCAGAGAGGAGATCCGGTATAGGAATCTAGTTCTTTGATTGACTTTTTTTATTACATTGGATGCCATTTTGTCACAGGAGAGGTTTGCCTCAAGAATAGATCCTAGGTATGTAATTTCCTTCTTACTTGTGACAATAATGTCACCCACTGCAACTGAGAAGTCGTCGGATTTGCTGAGATTATGTTTCGAACCGAAGAGAATGGACTCTGTTTTACCCAGGTGTAATGATAATTTATTATCGGCGAGCCAGGTGCAGATTCTGCCGAGCTCGGAGCTGAGGGTTTTTTCAACCTGCAATCTGCTCCTGTCAGAGACCAGCAGGGCTGAGTCGTCCGCGAACAGGAACAAGTTGCAGTCACATGCTGATGACATGTCATTTGCATAAATTAGGAACAGTAACGGACCTAATATGCTTCCTTGTGGAACACCACAGCTCACTGGGAGGGGGGGGGACAGAGTACCGTTTACCTCCACCATCTGTTCTCTCCCCTCCAGGTAGGATTGCATCCAGCTCACCGATAGTTTATCAAAACCAATTGCTTTTAGCTTGTCAATCAGAATGGGGTGATTGACAGTGTCGAAAGCCTTTTGTAGGTCCAGCATCACCATGCCGCAGTATTTACCCTCGTCCACCTCTTGTTTGA